AGAGCATGCTATAATCTTCACATTTTTCCTCAGTTACTCAGCTGTCAAGAGCTGGTGCTAGCACTGCATTGTCTTTCCATGGAACTATTCAGCGTTCTGGGTCAGGCGACTGACACAGCCAGTTTGCTTGCCTTTGGTACACATAACACCTGCAGGAAATAGTACTCCCAGTCCTCAGGGGACAGAAATGCTGGCCTGAAGCTTGGAAAGCAGCTCAGCACTGATGGAACTGAGTTGGCCTCTGCCTTCCCAGACCAGGACGAGGCCCTGTGGGAGCACCTTGACCTGACCTAAGGGGCAGGCAGTCTGCAAGAAGGAGGCCAGTAAGCCTCCCACCGCCAAGCCCCCTGCTGACTCAGCACCGGGCTGTTGAAGACAAGGCAAAGAAGTGCCCCCTTCCAAGAGCCTGCTGCTTTGGAGGACAGTGGCGCAAACAATAAAGGGCGCATTTCAGCTGTGCGAAGGGCTGTTATGGGGGTGGGAGTGGGGGTGTAGGGTGGGGTGGGGTGGTGGATAACGAGGGTCCTGCCTGTGTGGGAAAAACAGAGAGCCGACATGACATCTGAAGGGAAGTCAGAAAGGAGCGGAGGTTGGTGTGGATTAGGGAGAACAGCCAGGCCAAGGAGCTTGTGCCTGGAAGGTGCTAGAAGGGATTATGAGGACTAGAGAGCTGACAGGCTGGTGGGGCCACTGAGATAGGCAAGGAGGGAAGGGGTGGCTTCTTTTCTTTTTGCCCCCTCACTAATCCCCTATTAGCGAGGGGGGCAAGAGTGGCAACCAATCCAGGTGCCCTGTTCACACCTGCAGCCAACCCTCTGTTTGGGTAAGAGTCTGAGAGCAGGGCCTTGCGGGGGTGTGTGCTGCTGACTCCGTATTTATGGTAAGAATGCCCTCAGGGGCTAGCCTGGACACCACCACCTTGCCCTGGGATAGATTCTGGAAACTAGCTGTCACTGTGCATCAGGGGGACGAAACTTATCTCTGGTAGGAACCACAAACGTGAGAGCTGCAGGTCAAAGCCACCAAGAGCTCAAGTCAGATTCCAGACCGGCCACTGCGCTTGCTCATCGCCCTCTAGCTCACCACGGACCCCTCCCTCCCTGGCCAGGCCCACCCACAAGCCAAGCGAGCCCAGAGTAGGGAGGGCACCAATAAACTGGCCAATACAGAGAATTTGTGATTTCTGTCTACGGCAAATGGAAGAAGAAAAAAACACACCAGAGTGGCTAGTCACCTATTAGGCCTGATTTATATTCTCCTTTAATGTCTCCTCAAAGGAAATGAGAGGTGTATTTTCATCAAATATCTTTGTTTACAGCTTCTAGCGGGGAGCTGGACTGCTCTGTGACAACTCCCCGGGCCCACAGATAAAAATCCAAGGATTTGTCCTAACAGAATAACCTCCTCCTACAGCCCCCCCCCTCCCCTGGGGGGGGGCACAGAGCCAGGAGCTACTTTCCTCTTGTAGAATTATGCTCGGGAAGAGTCAGGGTCCCATGCTGCCTGGTGTTCTGCCACGGTGGGCCCACGGCAAAGGACAGGGGCACTGCCCGCCCTTCCAGAAGATAGGAAGGGGTGTCCCTGCAGCTCTGAAGCAAATGTGGCCAGGCCTCAGGGGCCAGCTTTCTGGGCACCCAGTTCCCTTTGAGAAAGGGGCAGGGACAAATGCAGTCTGGGCGCCACAAACCCCTATCCCTTGCCAGTGCGTCTGCCACCCTGACACACACCTCGCTCACTGCGCCACAGCAACCCCACAGGGGAATGCTGCCTAGGCCCTCAGGGGCTGCTGGGCCCTGCCAACATGCCGGGCCCAGCGAGGCCTCCCTCCTCATCTCCAGAGGCCCGGACGAGGAGTGGGCAGCAAGTGGGAGACTCTGTTCGTGGGCTGGCAGGAGAAGTGTGGGGGCTCATGCTCCAGTTCCAGAGGTTTGCTAATGTGGCGGACACGGTGCTGGGCCCCGGCTAGTCCCCATGGAGGTGAGGCTCACAGTCAGGTGCGCGCGCACACACACGTCTGCCAGAGCAGGCACCACAGAGGGTGGAAAAGCCGGGCTAATGTGATGGAGGGGAGGTGGTCGGTCACCTTGGCTAGGTGGGTGGTGGGGACAGGCCTCTCTGAGGAGGCAGTGGCGGTGGCAATTACTATGAGGCAGCCATGCCTGGAACTCGGGATGACTGCTTAACAGAAAGTCTCCTGGCACAAAGGGGTGGGGATGGAGAGTAGTGGTTCCCAAAGTGTGGCCTGGGGAACCCCATGGGGATCCAAGTCATTGTGGGCCTCCCCTGACTGCATGTGGAGCCACAGCACCCACCCATTAGTCTTCTACCACTGCAGGGCTATGCGAAACGAATGCAAAGCCATTGATGTGCACGTGGTCCGGAGAGCAGATGGGTTTTTCCTACCACTACGGTATTGATGTAACATGTGTCCTCTGGTTTAACATTCAATGCCGTGGATACTCGAGCATAATCCACATAAGCTAGACTTCCGTGGGGCCCTCGGTCGGTCGCTCTGAACTGTGTCCAGGGATCCTGAGGCGAGTCTGAGAAGTGCTGACTGGAGGGGGGGTGGCAGCTAGTGGAGCTGGGGTGCAGTGGCTGTCCCTGTGAGGCAGCAGTCAGTTGGGACCCATCACATGGCGCCTGGTGGTCAGGGCGAGAGATTTGGATTCTGTCCTAATGCAGCGGGAAGCTACTGGAGGCTTGTGGGCAGGGGTATGACACGGTCTGATTTATGGTCTAGGAAGATCCCTCCTGCTGACCGAGGCCAGAGAATCCTGCGGTGGGTGCGCTTTGGCCTGCGAGTGGGGGCAGAGAGGAAATGAGGGTGAAGCTTGCTTGTACACGAGTGGCCTTGGGGCAGACCCTGAGCTGTAGGTGGAGAGCAGCAGCAGGCCAGCCAGATGAGGCCAGCTGCGATCCCTCCCCACTCCGACCCAGACAGAGCACCCTGATCTCAGCATGCTCCTGAGGTTACCTCCTCAGCCCCAGGGCAGAGAGGAGGCACACTGGGGTGCCGCCGTCCCCACCCTCAGGCCCTGAGAAGGTCCAGGAGACACTGTCCTGAGCAGTACAACCGTCCCCCCCACCCTGCCTGCGACTCCCCAGTCCCAACAGCAGCACCGCTCCATAAGCCTGGAGCCCGGGCCACACCCCAGCGCCGGCGCTCAGGGTGGAGAAGTCAAAGGAAAGCATTCTGCAAACAGAATGACATGACACTGGATGTTTCCTCGTTCCAAAATGGCCGGGCGTGGAAATCAGACCCGAACCGTTCTTGTGCACTCCAGGAGAACAGCCCCAAGGGCCAGCCAGAGCTCGGACTCTTGTTAGACAGGAGCATCGACTTAGCACCTCTCCAGTGAGCCTCCTGAGAGCCGGGTGTTTAACAAAGCTACCCCAGTCCCGAGGGCCGACAGAAACAGAGCCGCTCTATCACTGCCGGAACTAGGGCGAGCGGCAACCACATCCAAGGCTCCAAGGCCAGGGTGGTCTCAGGAGGGCAGTGGGAGCACCTGGGAGCTTTGTTCTAGGAAGCAGGTGGGCAGCAAATGAAAATGAAAATGCATGTCCCCTCTGGCCTGGTAGGTCCATTGCTGGGCATGGACCCCAAGGCCACTGTCACAGACCCACACGCCCACCTGGAGCAAGGGGTCCTAAGAGAGTTTCCTGCCTGTTCTTGTAATGGCTAATGGGTGGAGCGGTTGACCTCATGTAGCTGATCATGAAGTGAAGGCAGGGCAGGGGCCTCACGTGGGGTGGGTGGCCGTAATCCAGCAGCGGAACCAGAGGAGCCAAAGCAGAGAGGGCATCCAAACATATTTCCGGAAGGAGCTTCGAGAACCTGCTCCTTTTCATTTTACCGAGCTCTTGGTTGGTTTTCTAAGGATTATATGCCAGGAGTATGTATCTTTCTTTTTTTTTTTTTTTTTAAGCAATTTTAAATCAATGACTAAACCTATTTTAAAACCAAGGACTCAAAATAAAATCCAGGCAGACCCTGGGTTATGAACTTCTGGCTTACAGACCCTGCTACACGCCAGTATCTGAAGAGCCCATATACCAAGCGTTTGAGACACTCTGGCCCCCAGCAACATCAGGTGCTGCTCTGAGAGGCGCCGCAGATGTGCTAATCAGTACTGTGTCACCCCGTGAAAGATGGCTTAGCATAACTGGAAGTGCTGCTTTAATGTTTATTCCATTTACTTAGATCAACGGACGTCAGAGACAAGCTGCACCTGCGCGTTCCCAGTCACGCATAGATCCCACTTACTTTAGGAGTGGGACGCATTCAGTCTGGGGACTGCCCGCAAATCAGTGGTGGGAAACATGGAGCCCAATGGAGGGCCAACTCTTTGGGCTGCATTTTGTTCTTACTAGTAGTTTTAGGCTGGAATCCTGAGCGTGGGGGTGAGGGGGCGGGTGCTGGCCGGCTGTCTGTGGTTTTAGAATTCGAAGGAGGGTTCTCAGGGGAGCCCTGGGAGCAGCCTCAGGCAGCACAGGAGGGTGGGAACCTCCTCCTCTGTGGGAGAAGTGGTTGGTTCTGCTCTGTCAAGCTGACCTCCAACTTCCGATTCGTGTTTATCTTTTATGGGAAGGGGAAGAGGGGCTAGAGATGACTTTGGTGAAAGGGGAAGAGGTGCCCCTGATGGGATAAGGGGGAGCTGCCCAGGGCAGCATGCTTCCTCCGAAGTCCGAAGTCTCACTTCTTAGGAGTTTGCAAGAGCCACTGCATGCTATCTCTCCAGTCATCTCACCAAGAGAGGAAATTACTCTCCCACAACTGCCTCACTAATCACTTAAGTATTTCCAAGAAATTTCCAAGGAACTTCTTAGTCTTAATTCTGAGAAATTCTTCCACATACCCAACTCATCCCTGGAAAACCAAACCAGAGCCGGCCAAGACCAAGCACAGAGCCAACATTCTTTCCAGGGTACAGCTTGTTGGGCACTCTGTGGGACTCTGTTCTGAGAAGCGGGGGGGGGGGGCTGCGGCGGCTTACCTGGCACCTTGTCCACCGACGCGAACACGGAGCGCTGCACTGTGGGGTCGCTGCTGCCGCGGCGACACTGATCATAGAAGCGGAAAGGCAGGTGCTGAGCGGGCGCCGTCGAGCTGAGTCCAAACCCCAGCACTTCGGTGGTCGGCTGGATTGGGAGGTCCAGGAGGGCTATGTTCAAACAACACCGTGGTTCATTTTCAGCACTGAAGGTTCTGTGCGGGGCTGTTGTAGCCAGAGTGGTTGTGCCCCAGCCAGGCGAGGCACTTGGGAGGTGCCAGGCAGGTAGCCTTGGGCTGGGGAGGCCAGCATGAGACAGAGGTACTGCCTTAGACGCAGCACAGCTGGAGTTGAGAGTTGGACGGACGAAACTGATGCTGGGCTCATCCCCACCGTAGTCTCCACTGTCACACATAAGCCACCTTTGCCAATGCTTAGCTTCTGTGCCATTTCAGACTCCAAAGTAAATGGGTCAATTCTGCCCCGAACGTTTGTTTATTCTTTTACATAAATACATATATATCCACATGCACATATGCACATACACACGTTTATATGTTACACACACATGCACACACAGAACCCACTGCCATTGAGTTGATTCCGACTCATGGCTATTCTATGTAGGATTTCTGAGCCTGCAAACCCTTATGGGACAAGGCAGTCCACAGAGCGGCTGGTGAGTTTGAAGCAAAAAGCTAGTTAGCAGTTCAACATTTACCCAACATGCCACTGGGACTCCTAGATCTCTCTCTCTCTCTCTCTCTCTCTCTCACACACACACACACACACACACACTCTCTCTCTCTCTCTCTCACGTTTGTACATGAGGAGTCCGTGTGCACCAGAGAATACCTCTGAGTATGCATGTGTGTACTGACGCCTGTGTGTACTGACACATGTGCACTGACGCGTGTGGTGATCTGCCACATTGGTAGCCTCCCTTCCAAAACCAGAAAAAAATCAATTTAAGAAATGCCCCAGGTGTTAGTTTTAGTAGGCACTTTATGGCCTAATTCCCAATTTTCAAATGAAATATTTAGCCTTCATGCCAGAGTGAGAAATTGCTTTACATTAAAAAAAAAAAAAAAAAGAATTAGAAGAAAGAAGGAAAAAACTCTCTGGAAATAAATCTTACGAGAAAAAGGCCCGAGTGAACTAAGTCACCCTGCATTCCTACTGACGCTCCGTGGATCCCGCAGGGCTGCCCAGATCAACCTACCCAGCAACTCTGCCCTTGGGGCTTATTTAAGGCATTCCCTTGATGGTTCCCCTTGGCCCACAGTGGGCAGGGAGTCCTCCTATCAGCACCTGAGCTGGAAGACACTGGGCATCTTGAGAGAATCTGCTTATGACCATGGAGGACACAGGTGTCTTTCCCCCTGATGAGCGAGTGCCTTCACTTGGTGGCCTTCCTGTTCAGACAGCTTAGACCTTCCCGACACCTCAACAGACTCGCCACAATCCTAAGGAACGTGGGTGTGCGAGCCCCACCACCCTTGCCAAGGAGCGCTGGGAAGGGGGAGCAGGAAGGGATGAGGATTTAGAGGGCGCAGTACTGTCAGCGTGCTGCCTGTGAGACTTTGGACAACTTGCTGAGCCTCCATGTCCAATTCTGTTCACTCTGAGTGAACAGGCGGGGCCTCTGGGGTGAAGGATGACGAATGCTGAGTCCCAGCCCAAAGCCCACCCACTACCTGCCTTGTCACAGCCTGGTGGGTGGGCCCTCGAGACCTTCTAGAACCCACACACCTAAGAGGTGGCAATTTGGAGTGGGCTCTCCCCTCACTCAGGCCCAATGAGCTCCCGAGAGTCACCCTTCCTCTCTTTCAAACTAACCCTGGGGTCGCTCAAGGCCAGCATGAGGGCCACGGTGCTGGCCCAGGTACCTCTGGCCCTCCGCGG